TTGGTATTTATATCTATTTTTTGTTATTAATATTAATATCTACTTTCAGGTGTATTTATGTAGTATTATTTTAAATGTTAAAAAATTTAATTATAGTATGGAATCAAATGGAACCGAACAGAACCGAACCGAACCGAACCCGAACCGTTCCGAAATTATATTTGGAACCGACGGTTCCATTTACTAAATACCCGAAAATTTTTGGAATCGAAAAAAATCGAACCGAACCGACCCGCGCCCACCCCTACTTGGACGTGGTTTTGTCACTCCAAGATGCAATTAAGTGAACAAGTGATGAATTTCATTGTATCACGTGAGGCGATTCCCTAAACCAAATTTATGAACCATAATTATTGAGTAGTGGAGGCGAATAACAGTGTGTGACAATTTAAGAAGCCTTGAAGCTTATGGGTATATGTCATACATTTTGAAAGATTGAGAACTAAATATGCTATTATCCCTATAACTTTTGGTATTATAAATTTCAAGAGTATAATGGGGATTTACAATTTTAGCTCTTGTTTGAACTACATTTTGGAGAAAAAATTGCAGTGAATTTTTGGAGAACAGTGTGGTTAAAAAGTAAGGAAAATTTTTCGACTAAGTGCAAAATTATTTTATTGAAGCACATATAATTGAAAATGAGTTGCCAAAAAGAAATGAATTTTCAAAATAATGGTGCAGCTTAATTTTCTATATTCATCAATTGAACTGAAAAAAGGAAAAATTAGCAGAGAAATAGGGAGTAGGAACCAATTAAAAAGCGGCACACGAGACAGGGAGATTGAACAAAAGAGAAAAATGATGATGGTGGCACAGGCACACGTGGGACTTCTCTCCTTCACTTCCTGCATTCCTTGTGTTCCTCTACCTTGTCGTCTCAAATTCGGCTTTACCAAACACAAAACTCTTACCAGTAAGTACTATCACCCTCAAAAAGAAAAAGGATAAACAAAATGACTTATCTTTTTTCAAAGAAATTTCGGCTGCATTTCATAATTTGAATACATTTTCCTTTATTTTTAGCTGAATAATCATATGGGGTTTTTCAAGTTTCTTTCACGTATTTTTGTGTGCGAGTTACTTCCTGATTAATTGTTTTCTTGATGATGGATTTTAGTGGTGTACTTCAGTCGCTATTCGTTTTTAATTTTGGTGCAAAGTTGAATTCTTGGAAGTCCTGCTGTTCTGGTTTGAAGCAAATTTGTGGGTTCGAGGAACTACCAATTCTAATTTTGATGTTATTGCTTCTTTTTATTGCAAGTATTCCATTACTGAAATAATTAGAAAATACACTGAATTTTGCCGAATATTTTTTCCTGAAATATTTTTCATCACTTTCGCATTTAGTTTCAACTAATTTGAGGCTTATTTCATGGAACTTTTGTACAATCAAGACATTGGTATTGGAAACCACACGTTTGTACAGTTGTACGGGGTGGCGGTGGATATTGGCAATAGCTTAAATTTTTATTTTTCCATTATTATTTTTTGTTTCTGTAACAAATGAATTATGAATATATGTTGAGTTGTTATTCCTTTTAATATGGAAATGGAAACAAAGCATGTTTGCCTGAAGTTGGAGCGTTCTTTTTGATGCTATTAGATTCTAGTTGATGCATTTCTTTTTTTAGTTTATTTAATTTTTCTTACTGGTTCAATAATTCACAGTGGCCACAATGAGTGATGATCCTATTCGTGAATGGATCCTGTCAGAAGGCAATGCAACTGAGATAAGAGGGATTCGTTCCATTGGTGGTGGCTGCATCAATCTTGCCAATCGTTATGACACCGATGCTGGTTCTTTCTTTGTTAAAACAAACAGGTACAAAGCAGCCAGTGTAGAGGACTGACTAACTTTTATACAAAAGATGAATATGTGGTATTTCGTTACCGTTTTAGTGCCATGAAACTTGAAAAAGTAACTTTCTTCATTTGGTGAGCAATTTTATGGCGTGGCAACATGGTTTTTTTTAAAGGAGCTAACAGCATGCTGATAGTAATAAATTGGAACCAGTTCCATCCCGGGATTCAGGGTAGGGGGGGGGGGGGTACCAAAATCCCTCGGCCCCCTCCCATACACAGTTCATCTCACAAGCATTGGGTCCATAGTCAGTTAATAAACCCAATAATATTAGCTAAACATAACCAATTTCTGTTCTGGAAATGCATTTTTTTTAAATTTTATCTCAAACTATAAATTATTGGATCAGGAGTATTGATTCATCAATGTTTGAGGGAGAGGCTTTGGGTCTTAATGCAATGTATGAAACCAGATCAATCCGTGTACCTAAACCATTTAAGGTGAGAATGTTGGTAAGTTTTTGGTAGCTTATTATTCACCAAATTTTGACACTAAAAATTAGGTTCGAGTCTTGTAACTTGACTGTTGAAGCATATGAAAAAATTATTAATGCATTGTAGGTTGGAACTCTACCAACAGGTGGTTCATACATTGTCATGGAATATATCGAATTTGGTGCTTCTAGAGATCAAGTGAGAAGCGATTTCTTCTTTGCCCCACCTCCCTCCCTCCCTTCCTTTTTTTTTTCCTGCTGGTTATTATTGTCCATTCAACCATGATGATTCACCCTTCCATAGTCTGCATTAGGGAGGAAGCTTGCAGAAATGCATAAAGCTGGGAAGTCCGGGAAGGGATTCGGTTTTGATGTTGATAATACAATTGGCAGGTATATGCTTTCGAGAACATGATAGCATCAATGTTCCCTCACACAGAAGAACAGAAAGAAACATTCACGAACTCACATCTTCAGTGCTCCATTCTCAAGGCACTTCTTGCTGATTTGTGAAAACTTTGAGCCAATCATAATTAACTTGAAGAAATAATTCTCACTTGTGCCACTCACTTGTTATGTATATTGTATGAGATTAGATTTATGCCAAACTACTGAGGATTAAAAAATGTATTTGATGCAGTACTCCACAAATAAACACATGGACGTCTGACTGGATTGAATTTTATGGAGAGCATAGATTGGGTTACCAACTGAAGTTGGCTAGACAACAGTATGGTGATTCATTAATTTATGAAAAAGGTAACCCCATATTCACCTGAAGCTAAACTATATCTCTATATTCAGAGTCAATTGGATGACAGTTTATGTTTGTTCTCTAGCATCATATATATGAAGCTTTTCATATCAACAACTTATGATACTATAATACATGAAGGCTTCTCTTCATTTCAAGCTCAACAATGCAGTTTTCTATTTATTGATATAAACTAGTCCTTATCTATGTTAAAGACGAGTTTATTTGAAGAAATATGCTTTTTAAGTAGAAAAATGTTTCTTGATATATATTTTTTAATGCTATGCTGTAAAGATTAAAATTTCACGTGATTATTCACTAATTGGATCCTCTTGAAAATTACATGCTATCAAAATTTTAATGTATCGTAGTAGCCTTACAAAATATTTAAATGCGCTTGTACGCCTAAAAAGAATGGCCTATTGGTGGCATTGTTGTTTTTGAAATGTTATCTTTGTTTCAAATTTTTTTTATTATTGATCTGACATGTTTATCATTATCTGAATTCGTATGTTTGAAAGGACAAAGACTAGTAAAGAATATGGGACCTCTCTTTAAAAATATTATTATTGAGCCATGCTTGTTACATGGAGACTTGTGGAGTGGAAATATCACATCTGACAAAAATGGAGATCCTGTTATACTTGACCCGGCATGTTACTGTAAGTCCTTGTTGGTTGAATTTGCTATTCTTTTATGAATTCTGGATGTTGTTCAGAAACTCTTACGGTCTTATGTATTTATTTTTAGTAATGATATAAAGTTTACACAATAGTTGTTCTGTTAAATGAATAATTAACTGCAATGAGCATAAAGCCTGCCAAGATTTCAATGTTCTAGGATTTGATGTGTGAGTGATTGGGGGAGGGGGGATATTGAGTACGATAATGAAAACATTCTGATGGTAGCTATCAACTGTGGCAAACTTACCTAGAAATTGAACTATTTGTTGTAGGTTATTTGGTCTGATTTACTTTTCAGTTTTCACTCTTTTGTTTCCTCTTTGAAGATGAATCATCCTTTGTAGTTTACATCGGAGTCACCAGCATTTTAGGACTGAAATAATATGCAAAGTCCACATAGCAGGCAATATTCCATCCAATGATTGATTGTCTTCTTACTTTCGAACTAAAAATTGATAAGCCACATTCTTGTGTTTGTTCTTGGTAGCAGAATTACTTCATAGTCAATTATATGAATCATTAGGTCACCTATGCAATCTGAAGTTTTTAAAGTATATACTAAGGATGAATACGTGGTCTGATGATGTTTACTTCCTGGTTGCTTTTTTTTCTTTTTACTTTCTGGTTGCTTGATTTGCATGAGATGAATTGGAGTACAATTCTCTTCTAACTGGCCATTATATTTGATGTTGAAAGACTCCTACTCTAGTATCTTTGTTAGCTTTCGCACAAAAAAAGTATGTTGTTGGAATTAATATTTTGCATTGAAAGTTGAAATTTGACATATGGGTGTCTATATGATGGGCGTTATTTTGGATCATAAGTACATTATTCAGTCTAAATATTAGATCTTATGGCATTTAAAGCACTGAAGAAAATGTATTACGCAGGCATTTCTTTCTTAATAAGCTTGTGTTGAATACTAGGTCTTTTATCTTATGCAGATGGACATAATGAGGCAGAGTTTGGAATGTCTTGGTGTGCTGGATTTGGAGGATCTTTTTACAATGCATACTTTGAGGTATCTCGACTTACTAACTTCTCTTTACATGCACCTCTTGCATTGCCATGACTGCTGGAAATTCTTTTGCATTATTCTTATAATTATTTTAGTTTTCAAAAAGTGAATAAGTGGTATTTGAATAAAGCATTCCTAGATTGAATAAATGCCTACTCGTTATCCAAGAGATGACCTGTCCTATAGAACATATAATCTCAGATGTCTTTAGTTGGTCCATGATCCAACCTACACGCTCTCTGCAAAATTAGTATTCTAAGAGATTAATTTCTGCACGGAAAAATTCGAGGTTGTCTATAACTGGATACAAAAGAAATTGATTTCTTTGGGTGAGTGAATAAATTGAAGTACAACATTATATTGGTGATGTTAGCTTGAAATTGATTGACCCCCGCATGATAGGTTTTAGATTGTCTTCATTTTGATCAAATCCTACATGTGAAAAGATCACGTTCATAAGAGTGACACGATCTTGCTAGAACAAGCCAACAAAAGTAGGGAGACCAAAATTAAGGCGACCTATTGTACTTTCTATAGATGTAATCATATTCGATTTTGGTAGATCTAGCAATAAATTGAACCGAGTGACGAAAAAGGATTTATGTAACTGACTCCAAATTTATTGAAAACAAGGGTCAATTTCTTGTTGTAAAGAATTTTAGAACTCAAAATTGGCCATGGTTTGCCGAACAAACTAACCGATTAGTTCGGTTTGCCATCTGGAACCCCATATTCAAAGTTTCTCATGCTCCGGCGCCTATCCAAAAAGAATATCTCCTATGAGTTGCATTTATTTATCTTCACTTCTGATTCTTGGTTGCCCCTTATTTTTTTGTGTTCTTTTATCAGGTGATGCCCAAACAACCTGGTTTCGAGGAAAGGAGAGATCTCTATTTGCTGTATCACTACTTGAATCATTATAACTTGTTTGGTTCTGGTTACCGTTCATCGGCCATGTCCATTATTGATGACTATCTCCGGATGTTAAAAGCTTAGATTATAGCCAGGATTTGTTAATTTCTTGTATATGATCAGCTTCTGAATGCTTCTGTAAATGTTACAGTCCTGTGTTTGTATGTAAAGTTTTGTACTGCAGCTTTTTCTCGTCATATTAATCTGAAGCTCGAGTCTCAGAATACCATTGTTCGCAGATGATTTGCTTTGGTGGATGATACAGATTTTCAATCTTTCCCATCTCTTGTACTTATCTGTTTCAATACCTTTCTGAACCCTCAAATATTGTCGACATAATGGATACATAATCATAAATGTTTAGGAGATCTGTTTGGCATAAATTCTTTAAAGTTTACTTTTTCTAAAAATTATGTTAGACTTCACATTTTCTCAATAAAATAATTTTGCTAGACACTTTTCCTACGTTTTTAACAACTAGGTGCAAGTAACGTGTAATGCACGTTTGCCTAATTTATATTTGATAGTTTTGTTTAATAATTAATTTGTTATTAATAAAGATGTAATTTTTTTGGTTAATTAAATAATTAATGATATAATGTTTATGTAATTGTTAAATAATTAGAAGTGTGATTTTGATATTGTGATTTAAGTTGGTGAGATCGAAGAAAATAAGCAAAAGTTGACAAATTTGGAGAAAGGGCTAAGTTGTAAGGGATCCAAAGTTCGGGACTAAAATGTAAATGCTTAAAAGTTGTGCCGATCCTCACGATGAAGATTTGAGAGTGGTCGAAGTCAATCGGACAAAGGAAGACGTCAATGGAATCAAATTTAGTCAAAAGATGATCACAAATCAATTTCCA